ATATTAATTTTCATGAAGAGGCACACAGCGAGTATAAGTAGGATGCAACATAACCAACAAGAAAGTATGAAAAACAGGAATAAAGGATGTTCCTGAGGAACTGTATTCCTGAGGAAGAAACATGGACTAGTCATATGACAAGAGCACAGGTAACCAGCCAGAGGACTCCACTGGCGCCTTGGAGATGTCCACAAAAAGCAAGGCAGGCCTCCAGCACAATGCACACAGAACTATGGGGAGAACAAGGACAAGAGTAACATGGAATGGCCAGGCATGGATGAGGCATGATCTGAATCAATGGAGGGACCTCCATAAGATCCCAGATCCATTTAAGTATTTATGTGTCTTTCAAGATTAATTTTTTTTAACTGGGCATAGAATGGAAAAATTATCAGGTATTGTTTTGTGCTCATTGTACACTGCAGAACCAGGGTAATATATTCAAAGCTAACTATCACTGGATTAGGAAAAATATCTATTGCTACCACTTAAAAGAAAAAAAAAGAAGCAACTCACATCATCTCCCTCTGTCCTACTAGGAATGTATCTTATAAAAAAACAGACATGCTTATCCAGCAAGGGCTGAGTTAGAATAACTCTCCTTCCTATGCATTTTACTGCACCTACGTCAGACCTATAACATGCTAAACTCCTATCCTTTCAGTTGGAAGGCAACTCCACAAAAGATGTTAATGATTCTCAAGAATGTCTAGTGGTCCAACTCATTTTATCCTCCAGAATTTTAAAAAAAAAAAGAAAAAAGAAAAAGATAGAAGGAAAAATACCTTCAAAACTATTCCACTCTGAACCCAATTAGCATTCTCGAGGAAAACAAAAATAATTTTTTTTAAAAAATCTGCTTCCAATTTATCTCGGTGAGCAGGCCGGGTCTTTGCAACAACTCACAGCAGAAAGGCCTTTAAAATGGAAGCCAGGGTTTTAGGCTTTATGTATTCATAAAGTTTGTTCCGTTTCTGAACATGAAAACATCCTCTTAGTTGAAAGACTAGCCACAGAATTTTTTTATAATGCCATTTATGCTCAGAGTATAGTTTATTCGCCCAGCAGGAACTGACCCATTATGTTGAAAATTGAGTGCATTAGTTCTTCTGAAACAATATGAGACCAAAGGGGAAATTACTCCTTCAGAATGCTGAGACCTCAAAAAAAGAAAAAAGAGTTAATAGTTTTCTGATGCACAGCACCAAATCAAAAAAAAAGAAAAAAAAGAAAAGAAAAAAGAAAACAGCCCTGTCTGCCACAAAGGCAAAGAGCCCAGCAAAAGAAGGGCAGTATTCATCTGAATCTTTCATCCTAAGGAAACTCAGCACAGTACACGGAGCTCTGAACTTTCAGAATTGACAAAACAGGGAAGTAATTTTGTTTAAATTAATCCCAAAGCCTCTAATTGAAGGAATTCTCAGATTAGGGTATACCATGTACTAGATAAAGACACACTGGGAAAGTGGGATACTGTGCCTTTGTTTTACTGAACATTTCAGGGATAAAAAGGGTAGGGTCTAGACTGGCGATTTCATTAGTATTGAACTACCAGGGAAGGAGACCTCCTGCACTGAGAATTTTACGAGGAGAGTAAGTGACTTGCCCGAGGTCACAGAGCCAGGAGGTGAGGCAGGACTTAAAACTGGGCCTTCCTGGCTTCCCCTACACCATGCTGCCTCTCACTTAAATACACCCTGAACGTTAAATACTCGTTCAAAGAAGGAGAGAGGAGAATCAAGCCTTGGCAGCCGAGTATAAAACCAGGGTATTTCCGGGAAGAGTTGGAATGTTGACGGCTGACAAAAGCTAGAACCAAGTGTGGAACAGCTGAACAAATGATGGTGTGAATGGAATGGTATATTGCTGCTCCAGAAAAAATGACAACCACAACACACTCAGAGCCTTGAATGGCAGGGGGAATCCCACAAACCCGGGAGAAGAGTCTACACAATAAGAGGATATAGACAAACAACCAGACCAGGAAGTCAGGGTTGGAAGAACTGGGCTGACCCATCCTGGTCCTAAGACAACAGAGAGTAAAATGCCCATCCATCCTTCTAGCAGAGAAGTGTGAAAGGCTGCCTACGTGGTGCTGTTGGTTGGTCTCCCTTCATTGTTTTTCTTTGTTGTGACGGACTCTTCCATCAGAGGCAGGGGGATAATCAGAAACGATGGTGATGATTATCAATAAAACTTAGGAACAAAAAAATCCTAGGGTTCAACAGTCAGTCCAGGGTCATGTCAAAGGTCACGAAGGAAAGATCAAAAAGTGCTGTTCAGAAAAAAAACATCTGTTAAATAGGGATGAGAATTTCCACAGTACATCATTGTCCTGGTGCGTTCATAAACAGGAGGCCACTGGTAACAGCATGTAGATACAATGCTGTACATAGTCCCTTAGACCCGAGGCCAAATCCAGCCTCAGACACAGACTAGCCCTGTGACCCTGGACAAGTCACTCAACCTCAGTTTCTGTATTTGTAAAATGGGGACAACAGCACCTACCTCCCAGGATTGTTGTGAAGATCAAATGAGGTAATAGATGTAAACTGCTTGGCAAATCTCAAAGCACTATATAAAAATGCTATCCTTATCATGGATATTATTATTACTAATAGATACTTATTGATTGACTGGTGGTGGTTAGGCTTGAGGGATACCCAGCATGTCACAGAGAGCTGACTACGATCTTAAACCCCAAATCGACAGAAATTTTGGATTCAATTGATTAGGATGTTATTTTTTCCTGTGGGTTATTTATTGTACTCATTTCGCGAAAAAGTAATACATGCACTGGAATAACCCTGATAAAATCAGAGTAATGATATATCAGAGGACACAATTACATATAAAAAATCAACTATCCCTCAATCGAGAAGGACCAAGGCATGGTGGACAGAGTCAGCTTTGGAATCAGGAAGATCAAAGTTTGAGTCCTGCCTGACACATACTAACTGGCCACCAGCAAGTCCCTTAACCTCGAGAGTAGAAGGTAACTCTCTTAAGACTCTACATTACAGATGAGGCCCCAATCTGCATCAATCCTGGACATTTCTACATCAGGAGCTCCCTACATGGATGAGACATCCAATACTCTTCCAACCACTCCCACACTCGGAAGGAAAACTGAAAATTTAGTCTGACTATCAGCACACTGAGAGGCAGAGTGTCTTAGTGGATGTAGATACAGCCCGGAATCAGGAAAACTTGAGTTTTAAGTCTCACTTTTGACACAAATAGGTTGTGTGACCCTGGGAAAATCATTTAAACTCCAAGTTACAAACAAACCTATGGAAGAAATGGTCTTAAAATCATTTAAACTCCAAGTTACAAACAAACCTACGGAAGAAATGGTCACTAATAAGAAAAAATGAAAAATAAAATAACTAATTCTACCTCACACCTATCAGATGAGCAAAGATGACAAAAAAAGGAAAATGACAGTTGTTGGAGATATTATAGAAAGACAGGCACACTCATGCATTATCAGTGGAGCTGTGAAATGAATGATCCTTCCACCAGGAAAACCAATTTGAACCACCCCCCAGAACCATTCACCCAACAACAGCACTCCTAAGCATGTACCCCAAAGAGATCAGAGGTGGAGAGAAAGGACTCACATGTACAAAAGTATTTATAGCAGTACTTCCTGTTGTAGCAAAAAACTAGAAATAAAGGGAGTACCCATCAATTGGGGAATGGCTGAATAAATTATGGTGTATGAATGTAATAGAACATTATTAAGTCACATAAAATGGAGGGGATTCTGAGAAGCCAGAGAAGACTTGAATGAAATGATGTCAAATGAACTATGCAGAGCCAGAAGAATTTCTGCAATGATCACAATGTTGGAAAAGAAAACTGCTGTGAAACAAATGAGAATTCGGTTCAATATAATGATCAATCACAATTCCAGAAGACTGATGATGACTAGCATTTCCTACCTCTTTGTAGAGAGATGACAGAATAGAAGCGCAGAATGAGAAATGTCTTCACGTATAGCCAACGTGTGGATGTTTTGCTTGACTGCACTTATTTGTTACAAAGAAAGGGACTATTTAGTGGTGGGAGGGAGACGTAGTTATGGAGTAGAAGGTTAGTGACAGTGATACTCAAAAAAAGGAAAAAAAGAAAGTCAAAAACTTTTTTTAAAAAATGCACAGAACAGCATGAATTTCAAAAGGGAATACAGACAAATATGTTTAATATGTATTTTTTAAAAAACCCTAAGACTACAAAGTAATGATTTATGATGTCATTTGTAATACTCTTTTTCCATTTTTTATATAAGGAAATGTTTATGTTTGTTAAGGTCATAACTTAACTTCTCTGTGCCCCAGGTAAGAGTTCACATCTGCTTGTGTACTGTTGCCCCCCAGGGCCCAGAAGGGATGATACAGACATTTACATACATACATACATACATAAATACACAAATACATACATACATGTATACACATACATACATATATATTTAGCAGCTAGGTGGCATAATTGATAGAGTCCTGGGCCTGGAGTCAGGAAGACCTGAGTTCAAATCTTGCCTCAGACACTTACTAGCTGTGCGACCCCGAACAAATAACTTAACCTCAGTTTGCCTCAGTCTCCTCATATGTAAAAATTGGGATAATAATAGCACCTACTTCCCAGGGTTATTGCGAGGATAAGATGAGATAACATATAAAGCATTTAGTATAGCACTTTACACTATACAGCACCTATACATAGAAGGTGCTACATAAATGTTAGCAATTATTTTTATATACATATACACACATTTTTACACATACGTATGTGTATGTATATGTGTGTGTGTGTGTGTGTGTGTGTGTGTGTGTGTATTTACATATTCTTTTTCTTTTTCTCAGATTCTCTTTCTTTTTCTATAATCTCACTGGAAGCATAAAAGAGGATGGGGAAAGCGGGGAGGGGGGCTCTCGGCAGCCCACTGGACCTCATCAACACCTAAGTTGTGTCATGATGTTACAAACACTGACCTGGAGCTGTATTTCTTTAGGATGGACTCCAAAAGGCTGACTAGCTCTTCAGAGTTTATGAACTTCTGAGTGCTGAGGGTGTACATCTTCTCATAGAAGTCAGCAATTTCCACTCGAGCCTGAACAAAGAAACAGAGCTGCTCGGACAAATGGGACAGGAGCTCTTCCAAGTGAGGAACAGTGCCCCCAGCAGCACCACGGCCAGTCACTACCACCTTCTTCAACTCATTGTGCAGAGAGGTATAAATGGTCCGGATGGAATCCTTTCTGCTGAAAAAGGACTGCCCACCTGTTAGGGTAAATGACAGGGGCACATTACTGGTGAGAAGGGGCAATGACACGGGGAAAGGACCATTTTCTAAAATATAAAAAAACCCTGATCTCAAGATCTTACTGTGCAGGTTCTCCTGCAGTGTTCAAGGAAGCCTATAATCAGAATTTGAATACATTCTGATTTATAATTCACTAAATAACAGATTAAATGAATACTCATTACCATGTTCCTGAGGTAAAAAAAAAAAATTAGTCTTTCCACCCCACCTTTGAGTTTCAGATCTAATTCAAGGGCTGTATCTCTGATCTAGAAGGCACTATACCTCTCCTGGCAGTTTTAAATGAAATAAAATATGCAAGTCAGAACATGACCTCCCCACCATCACCACCTCCTTTTGGACTGTTAATTTTACCATATATTTACATACATTATATACATACTACATACATACATTAAGCAGAACCTGCATATGGATGGTCTTTCTAGACCATCCAGGAATTTCCTAAGAACCCTGTCTATACAATCCATACAGAAGAAAAGCTTCTAATACTTGACAAGGGAGTAGATACTAACAAGAATCACAATTTAAATTACTGATAGCAAAAGCCAAGCAGGAATTCAACCATAACTGCAGCTAAGGGGGTCTAAGGGGGATCTGCAAAGCCTAACAGCAAATGTGGAGAGGGCTAAAAAGAGAGACAACATTTCATCAGCTCCTTAGCAACCAGTGGCCTCTGTGCAGCTAATGAATTTAGAAGCTTGCTTCACGGATATCTTCTTATGCAACCCTACATCTTACCAAAAGAACAAAAACAACAGAACCTCAAAAGAAGGAGAGAAGCACAGCTCCCATGACTGCTGAAGCCTCAGGAAAGGGCAGTGATAATTAAAAGTCTCCTACCAACTACCTCAGAAGTCTGTCTTAGTAGTCAAATATCTACATCATACAAAGGACATCTCATTTAAAAACCTATGAAAAAAGTGAAGTTGTTTGTTGAAACGACCTATTAAGGGAGCTAATCCCAAACCAGTCAACGAAGGAAAGCTTTCACAATACTTCCCAATTCTTGTCCACTTTTGTTTCAAATACTAAGTCTTAGTTATGCTTTTTCCATTTTCACACCAAAAACTATTTCACTCAAAAAGTTTTCCTTAATTTTTCTCTGAACCTTTAATTTCATTATCACAGGAATTCTTGGTATGGAAGCTTCCTCCCCCAATGCAGCTGGACATTTCACCAGTAATTTATAGTCTTAGTGCGGTACCTGAGAGGTTCACTAACATGCTCACAGTTACAAAGCCAATATATGCTAGAGGTAGTCCTGGAACCCATGTCTGCCCTTTATATAATACACCATCTTGCCAACTGTCAGCTCCAGTTCCTAAGCAAAGAAAACAACAATAAAGGCAAACTCTGATAATGACCTACATATATAAACATATATATCCTGGTTCCAGGTCCTGCCTACCCTAGAGTCCCCTGTGAACAAACCTGGGGCATTAGAAAATCTGTGGAGAGAGCACATTCTTGGTAAGCCAATACAAAGCATGGAAATAGAAAACAGAAGGTTGTATATGGGTGGCATCATGAACCTCAAGCTTTACTATTTCAAGTAAAAGTGGGAATAATGTGAAATCAGTCTAGAAACATAGATTGGAGCCAGATTGTGAAGAGTATTAAATGCCAGATGAAGCTTCTTGAGATAGGGAGGGGCATGGTCAGACTTGGGCTTTAGTAATAACAATATGGCAGCTACATGGAAGATAGGTCAGAAAGGGAAGACAGTGGGAGGCAGGAAGACCACCAGTTCGAAGCCTATATTAACAAACAGTCCAGGTGAGAGTCGGTAAAGGCCCAAACGCTGAGGACGTAAATGGACAAGGCTTGGCATCTGACTGGATACGAGATATAAAGGAGACAGAGGAGGCAAGGATAGCTCTGAGGCTTTGCACCTGGGTGACTAACAAATGGTGCAATCCTCAGTATAAATAACAAAGCTAGCGGGACAGGTTCAAAGTGGTAAATTGTGTCAAAAGCTGCAAAGACTTCAAAAAGGATGAGCACTGAGAAAAGTCCATCATATTTAGCAAACAACCTATTTTTGGCAATCTTGGACAGAACTGTTTCAGTCAAATAACTGGGGCAGAAGCCAAACTGCAAGGGTTTGAGAAGTGAGTGAGAGGTGAGAAAAGTGGAGGCATGGACTAGACCAGGGGTGGGGAACCTGTTGCCTCAAGGCCACATGTGGTCCTCTAGGTCCTCAAGTGGGGCCCTTTCACTGAATCACCCTGGACTAGACAGCTTTTTTTCCCTAGGAGTTTTGCTGTGAAAGGGGGAAAATATATAGAGACTGACTGGAGGAAGGAGGGAGCGGTGAGTGGGGAGGGTAAACTGTGAAGATTTTTTTTTTTAAAGGACAGGAGAGATCTTGCAGGCAATAGGGATAAGAACAGTTTGAAAATCAAGTATGGAATGGGAAGACTGATGGGGCAAGTACCTAGAGAAGAAAGGAGATGGGGCGGGGAGGGAGCCAAGTTGGGGAAAAGATTAAAGGCCCAAGTAGAGGGTTTTGCTTTGGCAAGGACAAGGACAACTTCATCATGACTTGTGATGTTTTTGCCAAAGGGAGACTATATGAAGTCATTATGTGGATGGAACCCAATTTACACACTTAGATTCTGGTTTTGGCAGCTTCCTCATTTGTGATGATAACCATACCCCTACAGAAAACTGCAAACATAAGAGATAACTTTATACTCTGAGCTCCCACAAAACAGCTGCCTAATATGTAATATGCTTGGAATTAAAAGGGGGAAGAGAGTTAAAAACATAATGCATAAATTATCTGATCAGTGGTGCCAATCATTCCATATCTGAATTTTCAACTTTCCTTGTATTTGAATCACTGCTACAGGATTCACGCTAAAATTTCAGAAGGCGCTGCCCCACTATTCACATTAAAAGTTCTATAAACAAGATGAGACAGGCACTAGTAGGGGAAAAATTAAGAAACTGAGCCATTAACCAGATAGTAATTATTTACTCAAGAGCCTACTGCTTCATAGTCACCACTCAGACTGTGTACTTATTAGACTGAAAAACAAGGCCAGTGACTCAAATTCTAGGAAAAATTAAGGATTGGAATTTAACACGTAAGGGTAATAACAATTGTTACTCATCTTTGATGAGGAATAACATAAGCAAGAAGATGGAAAGTAAAGCAAAAGAAGGCAATGAGTGATGAAAGGCACATCTGGGGCCACTCAGGACAAGGGTGCAGGAGTGGAAGGAGGAAAAGAGACCCCATCCCACCTCCTGGGTCTTGCCACCCCCAGATGCTACACTGGTGGGGAGAGCAAGCTCGGGCCATGAGGTTTTTTTTTCCCTTTTTTCAGTTCCTATTTCTGAGACCTTTCTCTTTGGAGACATAAAAAAAAAAACAAACCACACTTTTTTTTAAAAATAGAAGATGTAAAATTCTATTAGGTTTTCTAAGAGGCTTATTACTGGGGACTAAGGACCGGGCATTAGCGCAGTAGGCATCAGCAACTGCAGTCACAGGCCCTAATTTGGGGAGATGATTACTTCCCAATGACCAAATAATGCAACATGGGAGGGGGGCACGTTTCGGTCCCGGGCCCCGCTATCGCCTGAGAAGCCAAGTGAGCAGAGGAAGGAGGCGAGGGAGGGGTTGTTTTTGCTTTTAAGGGAAGGGGGAGGGAAGAAGAGGATGAACGAGGAAGCAAAAGAAGGCAACCGCCGGAGCCCACGTCTGGGGCCACTAGTGACAGGGTCACGAGTGGGGGCGGGAACGGGCCCCGCAGCCCAGGGCGCCCCCGGGGAGGCCTCCTGCAGAGGCGGAGGGCCCTGGCCCGCAGGTCGCCCCCCCGGGGTCATGCCAGGGTCAAGGGCATGGGGGGAGGGGCCGGCGGGGCGGGGCTGAGGGAGCGGTACCTAGCTTCTGCCCCAGGTAGGTAAGGCTGTGATAGGCCTTCTCGGCAGCGGCCAGGTGGGCCAGGGCGGCCAGCAGCGCCAGCCAGCTGCCCCCCGCGCTCTTGTTGGCTTCGCGCTCCTTCTCCACATTGTCCTTGGCCTTGTCGTACGAGAAGATGCCTAGGTGCGAGAAGAAGGTCTCCAGCACCGCCTGCTCCACCGGCACCGGGGCGGCCAGCGGGATGGACTCCCCCATGCGAGCTGCTCCCCCTCCGCCCGCCGGGGCTCCGCCCCCGAGGCCCCGCCCCTCTCCGAGGCCCCGCCCCCAGCGCGCTCGCCGGCCGGCGCTCCGCCCGACCCCACGTGGCTGTCGGCTTCCCCCGGCTTCCCTCTCCGCTCCCCCGACGCGCCGCGCCCGCTTCCGCGTGCTGAGCGTGTGCGTGCGCGTGCACGACGGCTTGAAGGAGGGCGTGCGTGCGTGCTCGAGCCCGCAGAGGCGGTGCTACTGAGCGACACCTCCCCTCGTGGGCGGTCCCGGGAAGCGGAGAGGGAGTGAGAGCGGTAGCCAGCTGGGACTTCGAGGAAACCGGTGGCCTGATCCCAGGCCTGGCCGAGCTCCTGCGGCCAGCCCGGGTCGTGACCTTAGAGGCCCTGTAATCGCATTCTGGCATAAATCCATCCAGTCAGTCTGTCAAAGAGAGTTTAGCTTGCAATAGAATGGAAACTCCTCAAGGGCAAGGACTTCTGGGTTCAGAAGACCTGGGTTCAAATCCTGCCTTTGCAGCTAGGTGGCGCAGTGATAAAGCGAAGGATCTGGAGTCTGGGAAACCGAAGTTCAAGTCCAACACTTTGTAGCTATATGCTGCAGGTCAAGTCCCTGCCCTCCAGGAGCTTACAATCTGGTGTGTGTGTGTGTGTGTGTGTGTGTATGTGTGTGTGTGTGTGTGTGTGTGTGTGGTATATATATATTATATATATATACCACACACATATAAATGTGTATATATACATATACATAAAAACACAATAAGTATATTGGAAAGGGACAAAACAGTGCTTTTGGAGGTCTGAGGGGGAAAGTCTTAAATTTAGGACTGGGAGGCACCTCAGATCACTTAATGTGTTCACTCTTGTTATAGATGAGGAAACACCTCCTAGGGTTGTCAGAATCAGATGAGGGAATATTTGTAAAACACATAGCACAGTTCCTGGCACATAGTAGGTGCTATATATATGCTAATACATTATGTTATAATGTCCAAGAGATGACATGACTTGGCCAAAGCCTCATTGGTATTGGGTCTTTCTTCCTATTGCCACACTTAGCACAGTGCCTGGCACAGGCACAATAAATGTATCTTGAAGTGGAAGCGCAAGGAATTGAACCCAAAAAGAGTTCCATTTCTCCCACCTTGGGTTTTCATTTTAAAGAGTAGTAGATTGGGGTTCAGAGGAGTCTGGGTTTATCTCCAACACAATCTCCGCTTGAAAATGTGATGTTGACCTAAATTCTTCTTTCTTCATATGCCAGGTGTACATGTAAAGCAACAGGTTATAATTTTGCTCTGAAGTGGTTAAGGTGGATACTTAGTGCCAATGCTTAGGATTCACTGGCGTTATTTTCATTCTTCTGATCTACCTCCATAAGGGAGTCGTCCCCATATATATGCATTTCCAACAGCCCGTGGTTACTTTTACAAATACTATTCAGGCATTTCAGATACAGCTACAACGTCTCCCTTTGTGGAGTAGACCATATGAACCGAGAAATGACTTCAGGGACAAAAAAATGAAGCATTGATCCCTCTCAGCCCTAGTGGTCTGGCTTAAAAAATAGAACATTTGGTGCAGATCAATATTTATCATTTTTATCATTCTTGTTTTCAGACAGTTTTCTCAATTGTATAGTAAAGGAACTATCTAGCTATTTAGCCCCCAACTCACAGCCAAATTATTTTCCCTTTTGGATGCAAAGTACTTTAAGCCTGATGACACAAAAGCAGTTATGAATAATTAGATACTCCCATCTTGGCTTTATGAACCACCAAAATGGTTGAATTTGTTTTATGTGGTTGAGGTACGTGTGTTGGGGGAGTATTGTTTTCACAAACCTCTCAACCCTAGAAATTCAAGGTCTGAGAGAATCTTTTGAATGTTCCACATCAGTGGTGTCAAATTGAAATAGAAATGGGTATCACTAAGCCATACTTAAGGGTACCTGCCCAGGTAAAACCATATATTAACATTATCTATGTTCTACTTTATTTATATTTATTTTGTTAAATATTTCCCAATTACATTTTAATTTGGTTCAGGCTGGACTCTGGAGTGTTTGATACCTCTGCTCTACTTAAAAACCTGTCACCTAGCACAGGCTTGAAGAGATGGTTCAATAACAGAATGGATTCAACTTTTCAAAATGCAAAATAAACCCAGAGGTTCACAGACATTTTCCTTTCTCCTTTTCACTTTATATCCTTCCTATAGGCACTCTCCCAATTTGTATATATGCATATAACATAGTTATACGTGTACACATTTTGTATCGCCCAGTAGGATATAAGATCCTTCTGTCTTTGCAGCCCCATGCCTAGTCGAAGCTTAATAAATGATTAATTTTACAAATAAGGAAACAGGTACAGAGATATAAAGGATCTTGCCTAAAGTTATAAAAGCAGGAAAAACTAGAGCCAGAATCTGAATGCAGTTCCTCTGATTCCAAACCCAGAATTCTTTCCACTATACCACTCTGACTTGAGTGGAAAGTATTATGTGAACACAAGTTCCTTGTAGTAGAGGCTGAAAGAGGGAAAACCTGTCAGAAGTGCAGGAACAGGGATCCCAGTGCTGATTTAAGGATTTTAGAGGACTATAAAAAGATATTTCATATTTTTCCTTTCCTTCATTTCAGTAAGTTGGCAGGTAAGCTTCTCTGTTCAGTTACTTTATATAAAATAACATTGATCAGGAGGGACTGGAAGCCTTTTCATCCTTTTAAAAGAAAAGATGAGACCCGAGTTCAAATCCAATCTCAGACCAGACACTTGACACTTACTAGCTGTGTGACTCTGGGCAAGTCACTTAACCCCAACTGCCTCACCAAAAAAAAAAAAAAAAAAAGAAAGAAAAAAGACTAAAAGAAAAAAATGAATATACTAAATAGTTTTTAGCAAATGTGTTACTTTGTGTTTATTGTGTTTGCTAATACTAAATCAAAAAGAGTTTTCTGCTCAGGTATCCTGTGAAGTAGTTTATATTCTGGAGTTGGTTTACATATATATATATTCCAGACTGAATCCCTAAAGTTTCCCTTAAGGCATGTGACTAGAGGTCCCCAGGCCTTTCAGATGGTTTCAGGGAAATTAATATATCAAGCTATGATGGCTGAGTCAAAATGCTAATAAGAAGGATACTGTCCCTTGGAACATTGACCATGAAGTCACGTTTGACTTCTAGCTTTCTCATAGCCAGCACATGAGTAACTGAGCCCCGGCTCTAAGTTCCCCCTTCCATTTCTATCAGAAAGTTAGAATTAAACCAACCTTCAGGGTTAAAGGAAGACTGGCTTTCTTCATGGAATGTGTCATTTTGCAGGCTGAGTCAATGCTGATACTTGTCACTGTAGACCACATTGTGTGGGGACCACAGCCTCTTTCACTCCTCCTTCACTTCAGCAAACTCATAGCGGTCAATGTGTCAAATTCAAACAGAAACAGGTTGGGCAGCGAGTTGACTGAGACCATTTCCCAATTGCATTTTCATTGAGTTTACACTCATATACAGCCCAGCTAGAATTTGATACCTATGATCTACATCATTCCAGGGAGGTAGAAAAGATATGGACAAAAAAAGAAGAAAGGGGAGGGGAGGAAGGGAAGAGGAAGGAAAAGGGACAGAGAGAAGAAAGAGGAGGAGGAAGCTGTCCCTATGCCTGGAATGTCATTTGTCTTCACTTTAACCTTTTAGAAATTTAGTTTCTTCTGTAATCAGTTTACATGCCATCTCCTAATGGAAACCTTACCATATTCTGCTTAGTGCATTCTCTTTCCTCCTCAGATTATTATGTATATATTTGCCAATTTAACTATGAGATCCTCTTAAGTAGGATTATTCTGGATTGGGCCTGACTTAGGCCAGTCCCCTGGTATATATTGGAACTGAATGAGATATTCATAGGTTGTTCAATAGTTAACAAAAGGAGATTTACTTAGCCACAGCAGAAGAAGAACGTTCAACAAGGATATACAGGGAGGAGATCTCAAATTGATTTAGCAGAGTAAAGCTTCCTGCCTCTCAGTTGCCCATTGTGGTCGTCAACTAAGCTTCAGACCATGCCCGGAACTCCTACTGGCTATTTGGTACTCAAGCAACCAAGAAGTGATATTAGTCCTCTGAGCCAATCAAGTCTTGAGGGTGGTTGAGGGCAGGAGTTAGGATATTGTCCCCATCACCAAAAACCTCAAGGGTAGGAGCTGGTTTTCATTTTGTCTTAATACTTTCAGTGAGCAGTACCACGCCTTCTGCATAGTAAGTGTTTAATAAATCATTGTTGTTTGGTTTGAATGTACAAATGACTGGCCTGTGTGCAATTTTCTTGCATATATATTGTTTGGTCTCCTTCCACATAGGTTAGGCATGTCTCTTGCATTGAAATGTAAGCTCCATAGGGGCAGATAAAGTATTTTCTCTTTCCATTATACCTGCAAACTTAACAATTGATTCTCTCAAGCTGTTAAAGCTGGCTGCAGTGGGAGCATTTGCACCTCTGAAATCAACAGACACTACAAATCAGGGCTTGATTTATTGTTTTGTTGATTATCTAGACAACAAATTGATAAAGGAAATGTTAATGATGCAGATTAAATTTGAAAGTTTGTGTCAGGTGTACATTTTCTTTCCCAGGGAGCTAGCTGTTAAATATTTACCAGCATAACCTGCCTCTTCCTCAGTTTCCAAGATTGTACGGTACTCTGCACACAACAAAATAGCAATAATTTGATTTTAGAGTTGGAAGTAATGAGGCAAGAATGAATTCTAAATAATATCCTGTGTGTATTAATAAACACACATTGGAAAACATACCTCATTTCTCCAAACTCTCATGGTGCTTGTCATCTGAACCGCACCATCTATAATTGGTACCAGCACAATATCTGGCACATACCAATTCAAATTCTGACAGTAGAATATTCTACTAGATCAAGAAATATTTGTAGAAAAAATGAGTTACGGACTGTTTTGTATTGTTCTCTAATTGTTATTTGTG